AATTATTTTCACCTCCCTATGCTACTTTCCAATCCTATTGGTCAGTTTGCTGCTGACCTTGAAAGTTTATCCAGAAGGACAACCTCAATTTTTCACAGAATGGCTAAAATCTGGGAATCATAAAGGATAGTAAGATGAGAAGTGAGTGGGTGTTAAAGAAGAATTTGACTAATAATTACATAGATTTTTCCACGTTCTTCACATTTTATCTATATTTTCCATTTGTTATTTCTGATGAGAAAACTGAGGCCAGTAAAAGTTATATGCAATACAACCAGTTCATTTCACAGCCAGGACTCAAACCCAGATGTCCTGGCCCATATTTTGGGGCCAGTTCCACTCTACACCATGCTCTCATACAGAACTCTTTGTCCATGGTAAAGAGACAATGATGGCAAATGCAAGCTCCTTCAACATTTTAATGATTCTGGTGACACTGACATTCTTGTTTTGCTAAGATCTTTATAAATGCTGTCCTTGAAATTCCCCATGATAAAGGTAATGATGTCGCAGAGAAAGCTGCAGAAGTACATTCATTGGCACCTTTACCAGCTTTCTTCTTTTTCCAGAACTGTTCAGATATTATAGGATTAAGAAATGTGTTTTTAGGGTGATTTAATCCAGAAAGTTCCAAAAGGAAATGACAAGAAGTGATTTCCACACTTTAAAATTAAAAATACTCATCTTACTCACTTTAAAAGGAAGTGAGGAGGTGGCAGGAGAAGCTGTAACAGACTCTTCACGAAAAAGACTCAATCCCTTGTAATTAATGGGAACCTCTAAAATCAGAAGGCAAGGCCATTAATCATTCAGCCAACTCTCCATGAGGTTGGCATCACCCATTCACCCACACACCTTTAATGACTCAATTCACAACGGGCAAACTTGAACTGCAGGGATGGTCCTTAGAGCAGCATTTTAAAACTGCTGCCAGTGAAATGTGAATGCTGTCATTAAATCAATGAGTTTGTTCTCTTTCTAGTCCATATATGTGGCTTTTTTTTTTAATACTAGGCTGGGTGGTGTTGCAACTGTTTCTAGGATTAGAATTGATAGGAAGGTCTTTTTTTTTTTTTTCTCAACATATATTAGGAATTCTTAACAATTAGATCCTAGAAGAGGGAGATGCTCTTGTCAGAAAGTAAGCTTAATATGCTGACAATTGCCCAAGGGAAGCTGAAGGTGCAGGAGAAAGGATAGTTCCACTGGGTGGGAGGTTAGTTCATGTTTCCTTTTAATTCAAAATTCAAAAGTATTTGTGTTCTTTTCTCAGTTATTTCTTGGAGTGATGTAATTAGTCAAGAAGACATACAATAGAGCAAACTCTTCCAGGAAACTCCCAAATGGATTGTAAGAGCACAGGGACTCTCCCAAGAGAAGACTGTCAGGAATAGTGGCTGTTTCCAACTAGATGATTCCCCAAGAATTGTGTGTAGGGATCACCACCAATCTTCTGGTGAAGAGAAAAATGTTTTCTGTGTATTTCATCCAAATTCTCCTAAGTTTTTGTTAAACCTTAATAAGCTAAAGTTCATCTAACTGGAATAGTTAATTACATGGATCTTATGACACTGACTTAGCACCTTAATTTTAACAGAAAATGTAAGGAAAACATTCTAGATGAAGAAATTTTTTTAAGTATAGTTTGTCTGGAAGTCAACACAGACTCAGTCTCCTCTGCTTCCAACAGATATTTATAGGCATGGGCAATAAAATGGAATTTGTGCTAGGTAGTTTCCATAGGCATTACCTCAGAAGACAGAATCATAAAGCAGTTATGATTATTTCCATTTAATAGCAGATGACATGGAGATTTAAAGAAGTTCAATGACAATCCCAAGATGACTCTCTAACCTTCTCCATTATTTTAGAAGAAACATTTACTCCCAGACTCTGATGCTTCCTCATTAGTGGGGAAAAACAAGTACTAATACACAACAGACTTCAGTTATAAGGAAAAAATGAATAATGTGGTAAGACCACTGAGAATTTCTACTTGTCCTCCAAGTACACAAAGAATTAAATTTAACAGAACTCCTAGCGTCCTAGTATATGAAGAATTGACTATGATTTTTTTCAATTCTATAGATATTATCTATTATGGGCGGATTATGTTCCCTCAAAATTCATTTGTTGAAGCTCTGACCCCAGTACTGTATGTGATTGTATTTGGAGATGGGGACCATTAAATAGGTGATTAAGTTAAAATGAGGCTGTTAGGGTGGGCCCTAATTCAATATGATTGGTATCCTCATAAGAAGAGGCAATTTGGACATAGAATGAGACAGTAGGGATGCACACATACAGAGAAAAGACCAGGTGAAGAGGCCATCTGCAAACCAAGGAGAGAGGCCTCAGAAGAAACCAACCCTGCCAGCACCTTAATCTTGGATTTCTAGCTCCCAGAACTGTAAGAAAATATACGTCTGTGATTTAAGCCACCCAGTCTGTTATTTTGTTCTGGAAGCCCTAGAACACTAACACATTATCTTTATGGAAGATGGAAGCAGTTTTATTATTCAGACAAAAATGGTTACAAGATGTAGTTGTTGTTTCTCCCAAAAGATGGACTATGTATGTCTTTTTCATTACTGTGATCAATCCCGATTCCTTATCTATCAGGACAGGGAGGTACAAGCCATCGACAGCAATAGAGTTGGAACCACTCCACTTGGAATTCTACCAGTGAAGAGCTCACAGCCTATTCATATGGATAAGTTTTTGGCTAAAGGATCTAAATAAATATATTTAACATATTAAAGAACTATATTCTTGGTGCTTTGCTAGTCATATTCAATATCATTCACCAAAGAAACTGAACGCTATATGTGAAATCACACAACCACATAAATATAAATACATATATTTGTAAAGACAAATTATGTTTATATCCCTGGAACCTCAATGATTTAAATCAATATGCTGTCTAAAAGAAATTTCTGTGATGATGAAAATGTTCTATATTTGTGCTTACTATATGGTAACCACTATCCACATATGGCTACTGAGCACTTGAAATGTGGCTAGTGCTGAGAAACAGAATTTTTAGTTTTTTATTCATTTTAATTAAGTTAAATTTAAATAGCCACATGTAGTTAGTGGCTATCATATTGGATAGTATAGTTCTAGATCACATGAAAAAATTAAACATGGCTTCAGTTTTGTTTGGGAATAAACAGAAGTAAAGTGAAAACACAAAGAAACAAAAATGCAGTGTCTTATAATATTTTACTACAGATTCTGTTTTGCTTAGCAAAACTGATTTGACCTTTTTAAGAAATGAAAAACAAAGAAAGACTTAAAACCTATACAATGTTTTCCAACATAAAATTATATACCTAAGGGAACTTAAAGAATTATAGAATTCCAGATGTATAGGAGATCTGAGAAACAGGTAGTTCTGGATTCCTGATTTTAAGAAAGTGGACCAGGTACTTTATAAAAATACATACTTCTACCAAATCATCACATATATAAAAAATAAATCAATCACTACAAAGCCAAATTCAAGAGCAAGAAACACATCTCTAAAAGAGAAACACAGACTGACAGGAGAAGTCACTGCCATGGTGATAATGAGGACAGATACCTGCTACTCTGCCATCCCACAAAGAGAGTCTCATGGATAATGCAAAATTATATGGGAAAGTTGTGTAGAAAAATCTTCTTAATGACAAGCATTAATCAACAACCACCAATTATCTGAGGAAAGCTAACATTATAAAAGAAATCAGAGATAACAGAGTAATCTGAAAACCTCTTAAAATATTTAAATTTTCTCAGTAAGATAACCATATGCTATCAAAAAGCTATGAAACGAAAACAGGAGATTATGAAACAAGAGTAAGTGACTATGACAAGCAACCAAAGATTTTTAAAATAAAAAATATAACGGCAAAAAGAAAAAAAAAGACACAGCTGAAGGCCTAACCGACCAGCTAAATATTAAGTTGAATTCGCACAGGCAGATGACAAGGAGATAGAAAGTGTACAACAAATATGAAGAGATAGGAAAACTTGATCCAGAAATTCCAAATCCATCTGACTTACAGAAACAGCAATGGGGTGGGGGGTGAGGAGGAAGGATGGGGAAGACAGAACTTTTAAAGACATAATGCAGAAAACTGTCCCTAAACTAAGAGGAAGGGGAGACATGAGTCCTGGTTTGTAAGGATCTGAAAAATCTGGGAAGAACTGCAAACGGCAACATCCCTGGACACACAAGCTGTAACATTCCAGACACTCAAGGGAAGAGTAGTATCTAAAAGCTGCCAAAGAAAAAAGGCAGACTCCCTAAAAGGGATGGGGATGGAGTGACATCAGCCATCTCATTAGGAAATCATACAGCACGTTTGCACCGAAAGTGTCATTTCTTCTGGAGGAATAGGCGTTAGCCTGAGAACTTCAGGGGTCATTTGGACGTCTCACTTCTCTGCAACGTGCAGACACAATGGTAGCGCCCACCACTTGCACAATCTCTGTAGCTACAGTGCCCCTCACGTAACTGATTTTCGTACCTAAATACTCCTGGGGCATCAGAATACTCAAGCCCTGTCGGTGGCTCTCCCAACATGAAGTTTCTACTCCAAGAAAGGGAACTTGCTCACTTGCTCTCTCTCACACACGCTACACCTACCCTGGCCTTGAGGAAGCTCGGCCTGCCACGTGTTCTTTCAGTGTTGGTTTCAAACTGCATCCTGGCACTTGGACGGAGAGCGAGGAGGCCGTAGAGAGAGGGTGAGCCCGAAGACTCAGCGGGTGGCAGGTTCTGGAGCCCGGAACTCACGAGGAGACCCGCTCCTCCAGGTGCGGGACACACATCTCACCGCGGGTTCTGGGCGCTCACAGGGGGCGTGATGCGCATGCGTCCAGAGGGTCTGAGCACCACGTGCTCGGTCCTGGCTGCGCGCGGGAAGATGGCTCCGCGGGGGGCCGGCGGGCGGAGCTGACACTCTCAGGTCCCGGATGGGGTGTGGTGGTGAGGAGCCTCAGCTTGCAAGGCTCCAGATCCCCGGTGAGCCAGTCGCGTCTCCTCTCCTCGGGGACGTCCTCCAGCTCTCCAGCCCCTGTGATCCTTTCTTCGTCTAACCACGCCCTGCTCCTTGCGCCCCGGGCTGAGCAAGGGTTCCCCTCAGATGGAGGTGGTTCGTTAGGCTGCTACGTGGCTGCACCTGAGGCGTCCGCCAGGGCAGCAATGGAGGCTCACGCTGGAGGAAACAAGATCAAGAGAATGATTCCCAAAGTAAGTTAACAGTTTTCTTCACCAAAAACCTCATGATTACTACCACTGATTCATTAAGCCCCCTGGGCTGGGGTCGGATCACTCAGGGTGTTGGCTTGAATCCACATGGGATTTGATAAAGATGGTACAGTAGCCAAATCCTAGGGGTAAACACAGTGTCCTGCTAGTGATAGAGTCTAAGGCCATCCCTTTTTTTTTTAATAGTTTATTTTTGAGACAGAGACAGAGCATGAATGGGGAGGGGCAGAGAGAGGGAGACACAGAATCTGAAGCAGGCTCCAGGCTCTGAGCTGTCAGCACAGAGCCCGACGGGGGGCTCGAACCCACGAACTGTGAGATCATGACCTGAGCCGAAGTCAGACGCTTAACCGACTGAGCCCCCCGGGTGCCCCAAGGCCATTCCATTTTTGAGGAGAGCTTTCTCTGTTAGAGGCATCTCAGTATTTGGTGAGGACAGGCTTTGTCAGCTGTCATTGAAGGTTTGCTAGGTGAATAATATCCACCAGGCCCATGGGGGGAAGGAAGACAGGGACCAAAATGATCAATGAGAAGAAAACCATGCACCCACCTGGCCTTGAGGAGAGGGAGGTTGGCAGCTTTAGGAACTTGACAAGGTTGTGCCTATTATACATGTTGCTGGGGTCCCACACTTAATGGCTACACTAACCCATCTTTTATTTAAAAGATGAACTAATAAGGCCTAGGAAAACCAATGGTTTTGTGAAGGTAACAGAGCTAGCAGAACGTGAGCTGACATTTCAGACATTCCATTGCTTTTTCTGCCACCCTACTTGGGTTGCATTCCACTTAGATTTTATTATACTCTATTCAGCATTGTTCTCTGAATATTTCTTGTGTCTGTATCATATACCCACAGTAAACTGTGAACTGCTTCAGAGCAAGGACCATTTCTTACAGTTATTCTTGTAACATATACCATATGCTCAGGCATACAGAAGATTCCAGCACACATTTCTTAATTTGAATGGAATAAGTTACCCCATGACCCTGCAAGTACTTCTACAATAACACTTGGTTTTGAGAAAACACTCATCTGTACTCATCCTTCTGGGAGTAATATGCTAGTAGCATCCTGCCAAGGAGTAATTCTGTCCTACTTTGGGTCTTTACTGATATCACTGGCTTCTAAATAGAAGCAACCCTATTTTGAAGGCATTCTTGGGAAATTTCCTTTATCTCTTTCTTTTTTCCATACCCAGTTCCCTCTTTAAAGCAGTATAAAAAGATTTAAAGAATGACTGTGGAATCAGCCTCAGAGGTTCCAAGAATAATAATTCACATATGTCTTGAAAGGTTTAGGTGTAAGATGAACAACATAAGCTCCAGGCATATTTATGGAGTCAAGAAAAGCAATATTATTTTACATAAATATATATTTTATAAAAGAATAAATGGAGGCTCCTAGCAGGTCTCATGCCTGAGGTGCCTTAGGTTATGCTGCTGATAAGTGAAGGATCAGAGAATGGATTCCTGGTCTTTCTAACCTTCAGTCTGGTGATCCTTCCTCTCATTACAGCTGCTGTGCCCTGGAGGACAGGGGGAAATGCCATCAAAGGTTACTGCTAGAACATTCCTTCAGATATATACGAAGGGTAAACCAGATGGACTCCAGGAAGTATGCAACAGGTAAGGCATCTTGAGGAGTTAAAAATAAATTCTCCTGATCATTCTTTAGAAAGTTAGAGGGAGAGATCATATCATAGCCAGGTGAAAGTTCAATAAAATCTTCCCACCAACTAAGGAAGATGATCAAGAAATTCAGTCTGACCCCGCTCATGGGCAATTGCAGGCATTCTCAAAAAGATCCTGTCTTCCCAAAATAAATGTCTGTTCCACTTGAGTTAAAATTAGACACACATTAATTCTGGCTGTTGACACGAAGCCTCTGGCAAGCTGGGTGGAATCCAGAATCCTCTACAGAAATGACCAGGCTCTGTAGACATCTCCCAAGGCACCCAGCTAAAGGATTAAATTGTCTCACCATTTCTCCATCACCAGTACCCTCTGTCTCTGCCTCACAATGAACCATGTTCCAGCAAATGCCAGGACACTAGCAAAAACTGCCTTTCTCTTTGTAGCTGAAGTTCCAACTGGAATGGCACAAATATAGATGGTTTTATTTTTTTTATAATAATGTCAATTCCTTCCCCTGACCTTATACTATTCACTATATAATTTATTCATTCTTAGACAAATATCTATTGATCATCTCCATTGCGCTTAGTGTCAGGGCATATGACTAGGTCCCTGCCCTCAGTGGCCCCATGACTAAGGTATAGAACTTACATCTTACATTCTGCCTTTAATGAATAAGGAAATAGACACAGAAATGTTAAGTGACTTCCCAGCACTAGTGTTGGAGTAGGAAAAAGTCCAGTTTTTTCAGTGTCCCAGAGATGTGACTTCCCTTTTATCCTTATTCCCTTCAAAACAGACAAACTCATAGCAGCTTTCAGTACTGCCTTATTAATGCTGTTTTTTATAGTTTTCCCCCAAAGATATTAAAGATATGTGAATACATGTAAGAGCATTCATTTTAGACTGGTGAAAATAACCTTGTGTGTGTGTATAAGGAAAGGAAGAAATATAATTTAACCAAAACTTCCTCTCAAGCTTTTTTTTTTAACTACATAAGCTATACGGTTATAAACAATTACCTGCTGAGACAACTGTTATAGTTTTGTGTTTACTATGATTCTGGCCCTCATTGTTCCAGGCCTGCATTCTTGCAACAAATACTCCTAGAAAAGTTTTCTATTTAACTCAGTTTTTCAAGGGACTTAATTGTTTTTTCTGTAGAACAAAGTTCCTGTGGGATGAAGTTCAAACCCCTTTGGACTATCCAGTGATCAGACCCAATATTCCTATTAATTCAATTGACTACACTGAGTATTTAGACTTGGGATACAACAGTGTAAAATTCTGAGCCCTTGTGCCAGGGAACTCCTCATCTGGCAGTGGAGGAGAACAGTAAGCAAACAGTCACAATGTATGGGGAAATTCCCTTGTAGGAGCCCAAAGCAAACAGAGAGACATCTCCTTGAAGAAATAACCGACTCAGTTTGAAGATGTGTGGTTAAGAAAAGCCTCTTGGAAGAGGAGATGCTTGAACATTTCTCCAAGAAAAGTCCTCCTTTTCAGCCAGGCCAGTTTCCTCCCTGTTGTTCGTGCCAGCCATGTTCTTTTCTGCCTCTAACTATGGCTTAATTCAATGACTCCTATTGATCAAGCATTGACTATGTCCTAGATACTGTGTTATAGATACAAAATCTTACCACACTAGCTCTCAAGGAACTTAGAGTTATTGGGAGAACTTATTTCCTGTATCTGCCATCATTTGTTCAATACATTTAGAAGACTTCAAATATGTATAGGATATTGATTTCCAACATCATCATTTCCTTTATCCAAATATCCATCTTCAAGGACATGTCTTTCATGAATTCATTCTATAATCTCCCAAGACTCAGAAACACTCCTACATTCCTGGGACTCCCAGGAATTAGATACTTTTTGTTTTCCTATGGTGTTACATATATAGATTGTGCTTTCATATAGTGTCATCAGTCAATGCTGAGGGGACCCATAAGAAAAGTCTCCAAGAACTATGTACTGTGTCATCATGCAAAAGCTTTTGAGAAAGTGCTGTTTATTTATTTATTTATTTTTACCAAGGGTCTTCTTCATGGTGCTCCATGAGAATCCTAGCTAGTATTACTATTAGGAGAGGTCTGGGTCTCCCTAACAGTCCATCTAATTTTACTTGATAAGGCACTACATAATTTGTGTAATTCATCAGATTTTCCTTTTTAAGGGGGACTAATGCTGTTGTATAGCCAAAATTGTGGGGTGTTTGGATCCATTTACTTCCTTCTTTCTCATTTCTCACCTAATTTCTCTTTATTTCAATCTATTTTTTGCCATTTTGCATAATTTGGTAAGCTACCTAAGTCCCTTCTAGACTGAACAATCCCTTCTGATTAAATAAAAATCATATTTACACTGCTTTTTTTTTTTTTTTTTATCATCTAAGCCTGGAGCCCAGGGTTAGTATGAGGCTAGGGTTACATTACAGCTTTCAGGGATGAATTTCCTGAGAACTATTTGGCTGTTTGTTGCTGTACAAGTAGGCAGAGTCCCCTGAAGGAACACAGGAGAAAATCTCTTCTTTTGTTTCATGATTTTAACAAATTGAAACAAAGCCAATATGTGAATTTCAAAGACCAATCCTGGAGTCTTCAGGTCTGAGCAACAAAAATATAATTTCAGTCCTTGAAATTCTCATCTACTAGAAGGTAGGAAATGGGGAAAGCTGACCCTTATTTATGTTCCTGATTTGCCAAGCCGTAATGATATTCTTTTCCTTAAATTTTATTGATTTTGATAAACTCTGAACTCTGTCTTGCTTTAGGGAAAGCTATAGAGGTATGGATTTTTATGTCAAAAAAAATTTGTAAGATCAACAGTTGTTCTTTGCTGAAGGCCTGTGGAGAATATGGAGAGTATGCTTATTGAAAAAAGGCTTCAGTAACCAGCATGCAGAAAAGCCCAGGAAACCACTGATTGGCTCCAGGAAGCTGGACTCAGGCCAAGTCTCAATGACCTTTTCCGTAGAATGCATTCCAGCCAATTGAAATTCCCAGCCTAGTCCCCAAACAAAGTGATAATGCTGTCCCTGCACAGGTTTTTACCCTCCATTTCTGAGGCCACTTAGCAAGTTGTTGATCCAGCATTGAGGTGTCTTCTGTCTATAGCCTATATTGCAGGAACTTGTCTTCTGGGCCAGCTGTTACTTGTCTGTATAAGAGAGATGGTTAATATCACAGATTGGAGCGTCCCTTAGAAGAGACCCTTTTTGTCTCCCAGTCTTCCATAGACTATGTCTTTTAATAATATTCAGTGAGGGTATGATATTTTATCATAAAAAGTTTATTGTTTTGATAAAAGTGTCTCATATTCCTATGTCTCGATGTATCAGTATGAATGAGTCTTTATGACTCATAAAGAATGAATCTTTATCCTGACAGCTTACGATCCTAAAACTGGGGGATAATTGCCCTGTGATCAAGGAGAACCAGAGAAAAGAGGGGAAATGAATGAGAGACAGAAAGGAGAGAGAATCAGTCCAATCCCAAGTCAATTTTAGTCCTTAAAAAGTAGTGAAATAAATATGAACTTTTTCTGGAGGAAAGTATCTTCATCCTACAACCTGGGGAGACACTATAGATAAATTTTCAAGGAAAATGACCAGCCCACAGTCAATATAAACAGGAATACAAATAAATGAATGTATTTGCAAACTGGCAGAAACAACAGACAATAAAAATATAGTCACAGAGATGCCATGTTTTATAAATATTGCACAAATACTATCAAATAACCATGTTTACTGTATCTGTGTCTAAAAGTATTAAAAGCTTTTGAAAATATCTTCAGGGAACAGGAGACCATAAAAAGTAGGTTAGCAAACTAGACAACAGCAAAAACAAATAGCTAGCATCTGTGTAGGATGTAGAAAGCTTAAAAAAATCATTCTCACCTTTAGGACAAGAAAAGCTGAGTAAAATATGAAAATAAAATTTTTCTTGAAGCCATCAGAGAGCCAAGATTTCAGGGCTAGCATAGCCTGAAACCCATGGAAAGGAAAAGTATCCAAGAAGAGCAGGGCACCAGCACTTACTCATCTGGGGCAAGTGCTGAGCATCATACAAGCTGGTAGGAAGTACTCAGCTAACATCTGTAACTATTGCAAAAGGCTAAGTATGACATAGCATGAGGATATGGAAACACTGGAAGCCACATACAGAAAGAAAATGAGTACCTGCTTCGGGCTTTTTTTTTTTTTTAATGTCTATTTATTTTTGAGGGGGAGAGGGGCAGAGAGAGAAAGGGAGACACAGAATCTGAAACAGGCTCCAGGCTCTGAGCTGTCAGCACAGAGCCTGACACGGGGCTCAAACTTGGGAAGGGCAAAATCATAACCGAGGCCAAAGTTGGACACAACCAACTGAAGCACCCAGGCACCCCTGCTTTCAGGCTTTCTTCCGTGGACCATAGTGGAGGCTCTCAAGAAAGATGGGAGAAAAAAAGATGGTAAGAGAGTAAAGGAAGCCCCTTGCCCATGTGGTACAGCCCTGGAAGGGGTAGCAGCACCAACTGCAGGAAAGGCAAAAAGTCCCACCTGGATTTGGTTTCTGTGTCTTTCCTACAGAACAAAAGCCTTAAGCTGCTAGGAGAATAGCATAAGACCTTGTAACTCTCAAAGTATAAGTGAACATTCATCACAGCTAGGGGAAAATAACATAAAAACAAAAAACAAACAAAAAAAACCTCCAAAAAACAAAACCTCTATTTTTGGGGAAGAGAGGGGGGCCAAGAAAACATGTTTCCAGAACAGTAGAGGTTCCACACCACTGAGAGAGAGGCAGAGTCATGGAGAAAACCCCACACATTACACCTAGGGACAAAGCATCTGCCTAAGGCTGAGGCTGTTCCAGGACAACTGAGAATTCCTACCTGCTCTCCCTGCCTCAAACTAGGCTAGCAAGAACTGAGTAACAAATGACAGTAGTTTATGAGGAGGGGCCGGGATGAGAACATCTAGAGTGACCCTCTCTCTGTGAGTC